GGGGGGGGGGGGGGGGGGGCGGGGGGGGGCCCGGGGGGGGGGGGGGGCCCGGGGGGTTGGGGGGGGGGGGGGTAATGGCCGGCCCCTCCCGTAGTTTTCCGGGAACAGGGCTTCGGCTGGACAAGATGAAAAAGTTCCGGAGCTCGGCTGCGCAACAATATGAATATGCCTCACACTACCGAACAGTACACTTACCGGTTAAGATGGTAGTTTTGCTGTGTTTTTAAACCACGGCGTAAAAATTACTTTAAAATAATACATCACCACTGCACACCGATTAGAGTGGTCAATATCCAGAACACTGAGAACACCGAATGCTGACCAGGATGTGGAGCAGCAGGAAGTCTCATTCACTGCAGGGGAGAGAATGTAAGATGGTACGGCCACTGTGGAAGAGTTGGGCCGTTCCTTACGAAAACACCTGTACCTGTACACTGACGTTTACAGCAGTTTTATTCATAATTGCCAAAACTTGGAGAAACCAAGATGTCTTTCAGTAGGTGAATGGATAAACTGTGGTATGTCCAGGCAACAGAATATTCTTCAGCACTAAAAAAGAAATGAGCTGTCAAGCCATGTAAAGAGGAACCTTGCATGGAGGAGGAACCTTAAAGGCCTATTACCAAATGAAAGAAACCAATCTGAAAAGGCTACATACTGTGTAACTCCAACTATATGACATTCTGGAAAAGGCAAAAACTATGGAGGCAGTAAACAATCAGTGGTTGCCAGGGCTCAGGGGAGGGAGGGATGAAGAGGGGGAGCACAGAGAATTTTTAGGGCAGTGAAACTACTCTGCATGATACTATAATGGTGGATACATGTCACTAAACGTTTGTCCAAACCCACAGAATGTACACCACCAAGAGTGGACCCTAACGTAAACTATGGGCTCTGGGTGACAATGATATGTCAATGGAAGTTCTCACCAGTCATAAAGAAAAAGCACCGCTTTGGTGGGTAACACTGATACTGGGGGGAGGCTGTGCACCTGTGTGGGGGCAGAGCATACGAGGGAAACCGCCGTACCTTTTGCTTTACACTATGAACCTCGAGCTACTCTAGAAAATAAAGTCTGTTAAAAAATACATAGAGCTCAAAAGTGGCAGGAGTTGAAATGCACATGAACAGCTGAGGCTTCCTGCAGAACTGGGAAAGCTAGAGTCAGGAGTGGAGCCTGGAACAGGGCCACTCCCCAGTTAACGGTCATTTCAGTAGCCAGTTTGAGGAACCATCAAAAGTGCCTTACTCAGAGTATTATCAGCAAGTCAAAAGAGGACAGAACAAAAGGCAAAATGATGAAGAACCATTTGCTGTCAGGAAAATATTTTCCTGAAGATGCATATCTTCCAAGTTTTGTGGCTTAGTTCTCAACACCTGAAATCTATCAATTTGATTTGAACTGTGTTAATGCCAAGTCAAGACCAGATGGGAAGCCAAGGAGCTCAAAAAGCTGTCATTTCTATGCAGGTTCCGTGGCCGACACAGCACACCCACCCACACAGCTCCATCCTGGCCGAGCAAAATTATAAATGGACCGCACTGCTT